CGGGATGTGCTCCCGGAAACAGAAGCGGGTTTTGCAGACCCTGCTGCTCCTCGTCGTGGTCTTCGGCTGCATCTACGGCGCCACGCTCTACTACGAGCTGCAGGGCCAGCTGCGCAAGGCCGAGGCCATGGCCCTCAAGTACCAGCAGCACCAGGAGTCCCTCTCCGCTCAGCTACAAGGTACCGCCGCCTTCCCGCCTCGGCCGCGCTCCAGCGAGGCGGCTCCGCAGCGCTTAGAGGGACCTGGAATGTTTTGCCCAAAGCTGCCACGTAAATGCATGCATCTTAGTTCAGCCACGGGGGTGCTGTGTTTGAGGAGGAAAAGTTGCTGGGTTTGGGTGTCTGCACGCCTGGAAATGGGGGCTGAGCAGCACGGGCCGCTTGGCGCTCGCGGGCTGTCAGCGCGAGGACCACAGCCACCTTCCAAACCCGCACAGGGCGCCAGAGCTCATCGCGGCCGTTACCTGGGGCCTGCGACCTCCATTACGTAGTATTCCCATTTCAGTCAATAAAAATATAGTGCTGTGGAGGCGAAAAAAAAAGTATAAAATCTTCTCTTTACCAAGAAGGTTTACCTGTCTCGCTGAAAGATGAGTATATGGCCGATGGCTACAGAGCTACTTTTGCTAGCTTGTGTACTTGCCAGTGGTATTTGAAGAGAAAAAGCAGAGACAGGAACGTGTTGTTCGCAGGTTAAAATTCACCAAGATAGCTTTTTATGCTCCTCTCGCTACACCAAGGAGGAGCATGCAGCAAATCTTAGCAGAACGGAGAGCAGAGAAACTATCAGGTGGAGTCATCGGCTCTGGGTTGCTAAGTTAAACTTGCCACGTCCTAAGCGTTGAGTAGGTGTCATCTATCCAGATAAAGTCATGGAAAGAGCAGGCAACTAGTGGTTGATAACATATATGAACAGCATTGTCCCTGTGTCTTCCTTGTGGTTCTTTCTAGTGTATCAGAGGAACATAAAATACCAACCAGGATCTGGAAGTGTCAATACACTTGATTGTCAATGGAATAACTTAAAAGAATTAAAGTTCTGGGACCTGTGCCAACTTTTCAAGTGTGCTAAATAAGCAATCTGCTATACACCTGAAATAGGTTAAAAAGTCACAACATAAAGGAAAAAACATGAAGTGGATCTTTAAAATTTTCCCGAATTATGGCAGCAGCTAATATAACTAAGAGAAGATAGGGCCGAGACCCCAGGAAGTGCAGCACCAAGCCTGGTCTCTCACTAAGATAAATGGAAAGGATGTGGCTAAACACTTCTGCAGGGTCTGGGCCTAGAGAGCTGGAGAATAAACTTTTCTTCCTTGTGTTTCCCTGTGGGCCCTTTCTTTCAGGATGAGCTGCCTTGTGTCATCACTTCCATGTGCAGAAGCTTACTAGTGTAATAGAGTTGTTCTAGACAGGATTTGGAACTTGTGTCCATGTCCAGCTCACCTGAAGACAGACAAATGGGAAAGGTTCAGAAATGGTTTTGATTTGTATGTAATCAGTTATTGTGTTTGCGTAACTCTTTAATATGAAACAAAAGAGAAGCATTTTCTTTAACTACTTTGGAACTATGTCAAACATTAACAGAAGGTCATGTGTGTGCAGGTGCAGTATCTGACTGCACTTTGAACTCTTAAATGGCCTGGATTTTAAATCCACAGTGTTCCTGTTGCCAAAGAAAAAATCTCTGCAAATATCTAGGCTATTTTTTTTGTCATTAGCAAAGTGAAGAGTTCATTCAGAGAATCATTTCTCACGTAATAACAACAAAACATATAAGCCACACTGCTTAGCAGTGATCTTTTCTGTGTGTCATAACCTGTTTCTGTCCTAGGATACAGATACTGCTGCAGAGGCAGGTTGGGGAGCTGAATTATGCAGGGAGTGCGCTGAAGATTTTAAAATCGTGACTGTTAAATGACATGTTCAGCATTGCCAGGAAGAAAAGAGTGTCTGTGCTGACAGCACCGGATTCCTTGGTGCTTACAGCTCTCCTGGGTGGCTGAGAAGGGCTTGTTTTCCTGGAATGCCAGCCGGAGTGAAGCGCTTGGGTGACTCTGAACCATGGCCTGGTTTAGGCTGGGTTAGTTGTGCCTGTTCAGGCACGTGAGGAGAGCGGCTCTGCGCAGGTCCCCGCAGCAGGAGCTGCAGGGCGTCCAGGGAAACGTGCCCCGGGGAAATGCTGGAGTGCAGGGGACTGCCAAGCTGCTGTCAGGGAAGGGGTTAGACCTGAAGGCCTTTGGCCTGCCCGGACTTTGGGAAGGATCCTGTGGGATAGCTCCGAGGGAGGCGTCCATTCACCTGTCTACATCCTCTCTACTGTCTCTATCTCTTTATAGTTTTTCAGGTTTTTGCAGCTGTGCCGGGAGTTAAGAACCTTCTTTTTGGTGCTGGCCGGTCCTTCATGCCTGAAGGAGCTGTGCTTTTCCTCTTCAGTGGAGAAGTTACTCTCAGATGTTTGATCTTTCAGGGAATTGCTCTGCAGGGCTATAGTGCGTGGAGCCCAGTGCTTTCTGTAGTGTCAAACCTCCAGGGACTCAGCTGAAAATCTGTGTGTTCTGAGATACGATGAGGGTGTGATTAGAAGGAGGGCAGGCTTTGGGAAATAGGATAAGGACAATTCTTTTTAGAGAGGCTGGGGTCTTTAGGCAGTTCACACTGTAGATTTTGTATGTACAAATTAGGCTTCTGAGCTGTCACACAAAAGAGAGTATCAAACTTTGGTGTTTTTATCTCTTAGAAAGGTTCTGGTGGTCATGGAGAAAGTAGGGATACTTTTGTAGCTCCAGTAGGGAATACTAGAGGGAAAATCGAGAGATGGTGCAAAACTGCTAAGAAAACTCAAAGTCGTTGTTATCTATAAGGTCTTTAATAGAGAAGCTGATCTTCCCAGTGGGCTGATTATTTTATCTCGTTCTGTGAGTGTTGTACGTTCAAAATCTGAAGATAATCTCATTGCATCAGCCTTAAAATGATAAAATAAAACTTGACACTGTTGGTCTCCTACGAAGATGCATCAGACTAAGTCTTAAGCTATGGAGGAGCAGACTGCAGTGACTAGAACTGATGTGCGCTGACAGCTGTAGACAAAGCTGATCCTATCTTTGACTGCTTCAAGTCTAAATGTATCTACAAATGCTCTTTAGCCCTTACAATTTCTGTCTTCTTAGCCTCTAGGTATTATCTAACTCCTTGTGTACTGTAAATCTGCTTTAATCCCTAATCCTAATAACAGCCTAGATTTAGTGCCTTGTGCGATCTTAACTTTCCTGCTCTTTCTGTTAGAGCCTTAATTATCTGAGGACTTCAGGCAGCCTCTGTGCAGTCTGAGACTGAGCTAATCTTGGGAGGCAACCCAGCAGGGGCTCTGGACTTGAGATTTCCAAGTTTACTGTATTACAGACAACCTGTGGCTTTCCCCAGAGCTGCCCAGTGCTAGAAAGCACCAGCTGAGAAGCAAACAGAAAAGGAGGTTTCTGTGCATGCTGGGGAAACTGTTGTCCCCGTTTGTCCCAAACTGAGCAGCTTCCTTGGAGGTGACCTCCTAGTTGCTGGTCAGATCTACAGCAGCTGTATGTATGGGGACTTACATAATGCATCGCAATAGCAGGTAACGACTATTGTGTAATCTTATCAGACTATTTATTATTCCTGCTAATTATGTAGCTTACCTAGCTCATTTTAGTAAAGCACACAAATGTGTGGATGTGCTTAACTGTCCTCTCCCTTTTTTTGTGCAACTCTATTGAACTTCTGCCCTAAATTGGTAGAAGGAAGCATTACCTGCGCTTGTGACGTCTCATTCTGCACATGTGTCTTGCAGGTAGAGCTGGTCCTATGCAGCCCTTCGTGGTTTGACTGTTGACCCCAGCAACAGCAGCCTGAATTCCTGTGATTCCTAAGATTATAAAAAGACATTGTTACAACCTCGAAAGCAGCCTTGAAATTCTGCTCAAAACTCTTGCCCTCTCAGCCACAACATCCAGGCTTGGCTTGCAAGTAGCTAAACCTCATCCAGGTAGATAAGGGAAGAGGGGAACCTTTAAATAGCTGTATGTAGAAACTCACCACGTGAGTTTCATAATAGTTATAGATTTCTTCTGTGATCCAGAAGAGATTTCTGCTGGGCACCCTAATTGTAAAGCGCTTGCAAGTAGCTAAACCTCATCCAGGCAGATAAGGGAAGAGAGGAGCCTCTTTAAATAGCTATAGGTAGAAACTCATCACATGAGTTTCATAATAGCTATAGATTTCTTCTGTGATCCAGAAATCTGGGCACCTTAACTGTAAAAGTGAGCAAGGGCGAGTGAGGAATCTGCTCTCCTGTGTGTTCCCTTAACATTCACAAGTCAATTATGCCCCGAACCTAGAGGGAGGTGGTGCATGAGGCAGCAAAGAGAAAGGAGGAGGTAGATGCATGGCTGCTTTGGAAAGTTCTGGTGTCTTTGGCATCCAGGCAAATGGGCTGAAATCCAGTCAGTCTGATAAATGACATCTGCCACCCCTAGCAGATCATGGCTTGGCAGGAGCTTCTGCATCACTTAAAATGCTACAAGCTTTGTTTGGGGAGAGCAGATGAGAAGCAGAGGATGCAACAACCATGTTCTGACATTGTCACGGGGGCCAGAAGTCCTGCAGGCAGCAGCGCAGTTGAAGTGATAGCTGGTCCTGCACCATGTGGGCAGGGTGACTTTGCAGTTGTGCTTACAAAATTCTGACAGTTAACGTCTGCGTTTGGGTACTCGGAGTGGTTCAGGTGAGACAGCTGCTTTACCATTACAAGGAAACCCGAAGCGATGGACTGGAACTGTTTCCTCTGAGCAAAGCTGACTGAATTCTTACATCTTAAATGCAATGTTCAGCAGAGGAGCTCACGTTGCTCACTTGGGAACAGGCGCCTTGCTTAGGAAAGGTGATTAAATCTGCCCTGCTAAAAGGTGGGTGCTCTTTGGGAGTTAATGGTAGTGAAAGCTAAATGATTCAGATTATGGAAAGAGAGGAGTATATGGATTCATTAATTAAGGAAGAACATCTTGTTGGGTTGTTATGCTTGTAGTTTTAGGATTGAGATTGTAGATTTCTGGTTATGTTGGAACACGGCGTGGGCACTTAGGGAGTTCTGCCTGTTTGGGTGCTCTGGTTTTTAAATGAGGGTCTTAGGAGCTGGATGCACTTCTTTT